GACACATAGAGATAAACAACATCTACACACTATTCTGTATAGTATAGTATAGTATAGTATAGTATTTTACCGTATAGTAAAATCACAGAAAAGGTACTTACCCCTCCACTCTAGGGAATTGTGTTGATCTCTGTGGGTAGTAGCTATTTGTAATGTTCCACACATCCATCTGTGATCCTGGAAAGCAAAAAGACATACATGTTTGGCTGCCAGTAGCACCATTTGTAAAGCCCTACTTCTGTACATGCGTATTTATTGGCTGAATTCACACAGTACAGTAATCTATAATGAGATTTCTTTCACTTTGCTTTAGCGTGTTGTGTGAATCCTGCTGCTATGGTTTGTAAATCAAGAATTTATGATTTAGTGTGTTGTACAAACTTAGGCAAATGATGCTTAGTAAATAAACCATTGTCAAGCAAACTAAGGCTTAGCATATGTGAATTATGCCATTCTATCCTCCATTCTGGTAAACCCTGCTAGTTGCCCTTGAGGGTTTATTCAATGTACAATTTCCATTGACTGCATGGCCTGGGGGAAAATGAGAGGGGCATCTGAAACAAATATATTCTGAAAGATGGGTTTCCCCTTTTCTAAGTTACCTGCGTAGCGTGCTTTCTCCTTGTATCTTCAACTGAAGAATTCTGTTCATTTGTTTGTGGAATCCTGATGCAAGGAATCTATGGTAGAATATGGTTTCTGGGAAAAGAAGGATTAGCAGTCTGCTCTATTCTCTTGGTCAGAGTGTTTATATAAGATCTTCCATTCTGAGCTGTATTTTCACAAAACACCCATAATTAATAATAACTTATTCTGCCCAATTTCTGGGTCTGCATGACATTAAACCATAAGGTAGTAGTGCAGGCTTGGGTGAATAAAACTTGTCAAGCTAAAATGTCATTAGCTGTTTTGCAGCTGAGTCATGCAAACAAAATCAGCATATGAAGTACCTTTTTTCTAAGTCTGAACTTGTTTGTTTTAAGCATCCAGAACAAGAAAAAAGGATAAAATCCCATTCAGTATGATCTGTCAGTTGAGCAAGGAGCTTCATGGCAAAAGTGTATGTGCTAATATGATTGGATTAAAATTAGCCAAAATCCTATGCTTTATTCTGGAAGTACAGGCACAGAAGGAAGGAATGACCAAGTTGCATTCATGTAATGTTTGCTGAATTAGTCCAATCCCCTGGCTTTGTATGACTCACTGAACACAAACTAGCCTAGTGTGTTGTATGAACCCAACCCATGTAGTTAGTTTATAGTTCAGTTGTGTGTTTACCTAACATGCTTACCCATGGTTAATTAATACAGTGAACTATAAACTAGCCAACCCCACTGGGTGCTTACACAAACACTTAACTACAAACTAGCCAACCACATTGTAATTTAGAGTGTTGAGTGAATTCAGCTTATCTTATGTCAGCATATTTCTGACATTTTGGGTGAATAAAATTGCTTATGATGGCAGAGTTTCAACAGCTACCAGGATAAGTGGTTCATCCTAGAGTTGCCAGGACAGCACAGTTTAAACATAGGCTTGTACCTTCAGTGGTACAAAGGCCATTAAATCATTTAATCCTCATTTAGATTTAGAGAGGGAAGGGAGAACAAAAGCAAGATGCTATCACTGAGTAGTGATCTCCCTATTCATGGGTTACCCAGTTAGCCCACTTTTCTGTGTTTGAATTATATACTATGACTTGGAGTCAAATTAGATATGTTAGAACTATGTGAATGAACCCAGTCATGTAAAAAGAGGTTGCAGGTAATAAGAATTTTAATAACAAAAAAGGTGCGTGTGAATGAAGCACACAGAATCGTTTCCAGTTTCTCTTCCCAATTCGTTTCTCACCAACTAAGCTACAATATACTGTGTTCAAATCAGACATTATAGGAAATCTGCATATTTTAAACAGTTTATGCCAAAATGCACGCAAAATTGCAGTCATATCTATTTGAGTAAATAAGTCTCAGATTGCAGTCTGATTTAGATCACTGTTACCTGCCTCCAAGTAGCACTTTCAAAACTTGTCTTGTGATCCCTGCTCATGACCCCAAGTGCTTGGTCTGCCTTTTAGTTCCTCATCTTTGGGTATGAGACACATGGTTCAGTGAAGGCCCCAAGCTTCTTGCTTACTGTTGTTCACTTCCCTTATGACATCACAAGGAGCAGAGATGCTATGTCATTAACTAACATCAGAGGTTAGGTTGTGAACTCTAAATTTTTAGAGTTTTACAGCAAATCAATTAGTACTAGAAATCAAAATTTAAACATCTTAAATTTTATTTCTTGTATTGGTGTTTTCAGTTGCAATGTGAAATCATGATCTGAAGTTGGTTTAAGCTCACTTTTCCTAAAACTGACAACCATAGTTTTCCAGGTTGAAAAAAAGTAAGCTGTTTGGTTCATTCATACAAATGCATCAGAAAGAGCTGCAGTGATCCTGCTAACAGCTTATCTTGGCTTATTAAGTTGCGATATGATTACTGTTTTACGTAGTTTTTTTCCCCTGCTTGAATTCTGTATAACTAGTCCTATATTGGCCTAACAAATAAATCTGATATGCAAACCAGCTTCCCATTTCTCTGTTTCTACTCTTTCTGCCTGTTCAGACCTTAAAGATGATTGAAAATCATTAAATTTTTGGAAAGCTGAACCTTGGGAAAAGTGTGCAGCTGTTGTTAAGTTTCTGTGTGCTTGTCTGGCCTTTTTTTAAAATGCATCCAAAGCACCAGATTATGGGGCGAAGATGTCTGGAATCTATCAATTGTAAAATAATAATGATGATGATGATGATGATGATGACGATGATGATGATGTTACTGCTACTTTTTTCTTCTGTTCTACTATGAAACTTCCTGCATGCAGACTTAGCCATCCCATCCATTTTTAGAGGCCAGTCTTCCTATTCTAATAGCCCTTTTTTTCTCTTCTGAAGGTAGGATGGTACAATGAGGTCCTTCCTCCAGCTTTGCATTTGCGGTACTCTGATAATACTCTGGCGTTTGTAGTACTTAGCGTTCCTGCCATGTTTGACAAGGCATTCAAACCCTTCCTGAAGAAACAGCTGCTGAAGAAGATTCATGATCCAGTGGATCAATGCATTTCTTATCATCTCTCGCTGGTTAGGGAGGTAAGACATTTTAGTGCATTGCCCCCTTTTGTCACTTCTCTGTTACAAATACAAAAAAGTCCATCTAATCTGGCATCCTATTTCTAACAGTAGATAGCTATTGGCTTCCAGGATGCACACAACTAAGGCCTATTATTTGCATTTATTCAAAGGCAAACTCATGGTTTTGGCATATAAACACAATGTTGGCATGGTTTGTCAATACTTTTTCTGACCCAGACCATGATGTTCTGCCCCAATAAATAACAAAAGCAATCTTACGGACTTTTATTCTGTTCCACTCCTGCAGACGCTATGTTGCTGATCTCTAGTGCATGGCTTCATAACCCAATTGTGGGTTATTCATGAAATTGTGGCCAAGAGTACCATAGTTTTTTGTATGTTGTGTAAGTTCAGCTAACATGTTTAAATTTTCATTTAGCCAATATTGCTAATGTCAGTGGATGAACATACTTATGATTCGTATCCATATCTAAGCGAGCAGCTACTGCCAGCTCTTCTATGAGCTAGTGGGATATGATGATGCAGAGCAGGAAGACCCAGGTTCTAGTCCATTCCTAGCCATAGAGTCCCACTAGGTGACTGGGCCACTCATTACTCTCAGCACTCTCTACCTCATAGGGTTGTTGCTATGAGAAAAAGTAAAAAGAGGGAGCATCATATATGCCACTTTGAACTCCTGGATGAAGAGTAATATAAATCTAATAAATGCATACAATTCTTGTCCTTATATATCAACATTTTCTTATTTACATTTGTCCTAAAAATGTTGTCACGGTTAGGTGAGTTCAGGTTCTAATGTTGAAAAAAAAAAGTTTTTGATCCATTACAGACCCAAATCACATGACTGCTAAATTTAGCAATGGAATTTTTAATTCAATTACTTCATTACAAAGTTTTTGGAATTCAATATTATGCTTAGTTTACAAATTCTGCTATGTATACTTGATAGTTTTAAGAGCTGATAAAGGAGAGCTTACCTGATTATTCTTCAGGAATACTTCTTTCTCTTAGTTTAATAATCTAGTTTTAGTACTGTAAAGCTTTCCACAAATCTAGGCAAGATAGATATTAGGTTAACAGGCCTGAAAGTTTGTCTCTTTTTAAAAATAGATTTTTTTTTTAATCACTTTCCAATCATTCTACAGAAGACCAGTTTTAGTGACAAGTTGCTTGGTTTTGTAGAAGATTAACAGTATTACATTGGAATTTTTAAAAACACTATGTATATGCCAGTGAAATACTGTACAGGTATTTCTTTTTAATTTGCTATTTAGCTCTATAACTGCATGTCTTGTCACTTTATTTAATTGTTTAATTGTGCTCCTATTAGATGTGGTCATAATTTTAAAAAAATCATTTTGTAGAGTGAATTGGAGAAGTAAAACGGGTGGATGAATAGAATTAGTCAACAAAGGACCTTGAAACATTTTACAATATTTGTTCTGTTATAGTGATGAAAGGCCTATTGGCTAATCTTTACAGTAGCCTTCTACAATCTGGGTATCCTGGCCAGAGATTAAGGGAATTTTAGCCCAATATATCTGGAGGCACCAGTTTGGAAGGCAACATGAGATTGTTGCTATGGGAATGAATAAGGGGAGAATATCATATGGCGGAAGCAAACAATATATAGTTGGCATCGTATAGAGCACAAAGGTGTTATCAGGCCCAAGAATCCAATATCGTAGATAGCGCAGGACGGCAGCAAAGTGTCCGACTTTTCTGTATCTCTTTGCTTTCATCTCATTGTAAACTGGATTTTTGCAGTCCAGATATGATAGATCTGTTTTATATCCATGAAAATAAGCAAGGGATATAGTAATTCTATTAAATTAGCTGGTTGGGGAATTCTGGGAGTTGAGGTCCACACATCTTAAAGTTGCCAAGGTTAAAAAAACACTGCATTAGATGTTTACACTTTAGGGAAGCACACACCTTACTGTAGATTTTTGTTCCTAACAGACTAAATAAAGGAGACAGGATATCCTTCATAGTTCTAATTGTATTTTAGTTTGGAGAGGTCATGGTTATATTTTTAATTTTATTGGGATTAGGGAACAGTGTGGTTATATTACACAAAGATGATTTAATGGTAGACTGTGCCACTTTAGGCTGAAGATGAACAATAATTTTTCTAAATATTTGAAATTTTGGTGAGGAAAAAAACAGTACAAGGGTAAATATTACTTACTTATATCTATAAGCAGACACAATCAAATATCCTTCTTGAAAAGTACAACAACTTAAACATGTTTTTCCATATAACAAGAGAGAGGGACATAGAAAATTATCTTTCTGTGCAAGAATATTACTGCCTTACGAAATTGTTTGTGGAGCAAATAGTTACCGCAAACATTTGTTTTAGTTATTATCTTTGCACCAAACTCACAATATGCTGGTGCAATTGAGTGAACACTTGCTGGGTTTATAGATTTGATTCTTTTATAAGGAAGAGCATGTGATGCTCTACATCACGATGGTGCCTTTATATCACGTGACATGATTTCACCCTTTGTGGCTTCTGTTCCTATTTGAAAATGGCTTGACAAGCAAACAGGTGTGCAAACACAACAATGCTTTCCATTATACACACACCTGCTGAGTGCTTGCCTCTGTGCACAGAGGCAATTATTGCTGTTAAGTCTCTTAATTTTCTTTGCTTTTCTTTGGTTTGCTCCAATCTACCTATTACAACCACCCAGATGGACTTTGTGATAGACTCTGCTTGACTATAGTTAAGCCAGTGCTGTACAAAGGTAATTACCAACAAATTTGACCCTTCAGAGTAGTTCTTCTTGTTTCTCCACTTTCCAGTGTTTAGAATATTAATTCAAATGGTTATCAGTCAGCTGCCTCAGTTTTAATATGTATGCAAACAAAAAATAAAGAAGTCTTTGTATGGAGACTTTTTTTTTTTTACTTTAGCATTGTTTACAAACCACTTATTGAAGGTCTTGCTTCTTTTGCAAATGAGAAGACCTATGAATTTCTTAAAGGGATAATGAAATAATTTTCAGAAGCCCAAGATTAAAATCAGCAATACTGAGAGAATACAATGCCATGTGCTTCAGATCTTTTCACTGTAAGAAATTGTAACTTCTTTGCCACCATCTCATACCATTCGACAAGGCAGGAGTTTGTACAGATGCTTCTTACATTTCTACATGTATCTGCAGTCTCTATTCCTTTATAATGCAAGTTCACCTCTAATGGAACCTCTTCTTTCCAGAGTCTTGCTGACCAGCAGGTGGATATCATGTATGATTATGAGATCCTGCCCAACCGGAAGCCCAGATTCCTGGCCCAAACAGCAGCACATGTGGCTGGCGCTGCATACCTCTACCAGAGAAAAGATGTGCATCAGGATTCCTGGGGAGAAAAAGTAAGCAGACTGGCAGCAGCAGGGGAACTTTTTTCATGAAGGACTGATGGGTCGGTTCTGATTTTATCAGTTCAGGAGGATCGAGTATATTTTGAGGATTCTGTATCTGATTTCCTTTTCCATTCCACTTGTGTTAATATCAAACCTGTACTTACATCTTCTTGTATATATGCCCAGTTCCATGATTTAGCCCAAGACCATTTGCCATCTTTTCTTGGACAGATTATGAAATTGGAGATAAATATAATGTAATTATTTTTCTCTAGTAAAATGGGTTTTGTTAGGTTTTTCAAATATTTTGACGAGGATTGGTGTGTAAGAAGAAATAAAAATCTTTTCCAACATTCATTGTAGAATAGTGGCTGCTGCCTAGGATCTGATTATATTTTGAGGTTTCAGCACACGTGGCCTCCAAAATTTTTCTCAGCACCTTGTAACATTTCATAAATTACCTTATTTAAAAAGTTGTTTCTGAAAATAAATTTAGATAATTCTTTCCTATTGAAGTATGTGTACATATCTGTATACAGAATACAGGCAGGCATGACCAGTCTTGATTTTATGATTTGATCTGTTAGGAATGAAAATATAGAAGAGCTTGCTTCATTACATGTGGCAGATAATTACTAAGCTGTCCTAGAGGATTTTCCTCTAAAGGGGTTGACAGGGTAGAGGGGGAGTATAGCTTGATAATAAAACACTTATTTTATATATCTCCACACCAATGGTGGTCAGATTAGGTATGTGTTTACATTATCGATCTCATGATGCAAATAGCTGAGAGCCGGCCTCTAGATTATTTCCATTTTTGAAAACAGATGTTCAGTACTATTCTGCACCTGGCTGTTTTGTATCTTAAACAAGTAGCAAAGCTTTAATTCCAGAGCATATGTGCTGCTTCTCCTGTAGGGAAACAACATAACCATTAAGCATTTGAGATATTTGTGCCCTCAGTTTTTTGACAGGAAGCCTGGATCAAGTAATAAAATATATGTATCATTAAAAAAATTATACATGAAATCTAAAGTTAAAAAATATTCAAGATCAAATACTGTAAAGATACAATCATGTGCTCGCTTATTGGGAATAAGTAGCAATGAACTCAGTGAGGCTTATTTCTGACTACATATTGTATTTTGGTGCACATATGTATAATGGCTGAGACTTGAATAATGGCTGGGAGAACAGGGGTGTCTCTGTCCCAACTTGACAAGTAGTCCCGGATGTTCTCCCCCAGAGTAAATATGACCCTTGGTCTGATAAATTTGCCACACTCCTGCTGTAACAATTTGTGCATATTCTTGTTTGGGATGAATCCCACTGAACTCAGTGGACATACTTCCAAGTTAATATTCATAGCGCTCTATTCATAGGATTGAACAATAAATTGGTACCTACTCTGTGAATAGTCAATTATACTGCTGACAAATAAGTGCCTAATTTAATTGTTTCATTTTTCCAAAGAGTTGAAAATAGTGGGTTGTTCTTTTGTATTATTTCAAAACCATTCTTGCCAACCCTGTTTCACTTTATGTAATAATGGGAAAAAAGGAACGCATGTATAAGCCATGGAAATTAATACCTCTCAAACTAATTTTCAACTTTGTTTAAAACTATTTCCAAAGTAACTGAAAGGAAAGTTTCCATAGGTGTAAGGATTTGAAATATGATTGCAGTGGAAAACTCCAGGCCAAATCCTGTTACTAAAGGTCCACAGTTCTCTCTTGAAAAAAAGCAAATTGGCGCTATATGTCTATTTAATGTAGTTTATTTAGTTTTGGCATAAGGTGTTGTGTGAACCCAGCTATTGTGATGTATTTAATAACCCAGGGATTACCATGATTCATGTATCCAGTCAGAATTTTGTCTTTTTTCTCCATAGGATTTGAGCATTGCTTATCTTTAAATCCATATCTTAAACTTGTTTCCTTTCACTTCAGAAGATCTATGGTGTTTGCATTCACCCCTCTTATGGAGGTTGGTTTGCAATCCGGGGTCTTCTGCTTTTCCCAGATATCAAGGTACCCTTCTTGCTGCAGAAAAGCCCTATTGATTGTGTACCAACAGAGGAAAAAAGAATAGAGCTGCTGGAGAAATTCAATTTCCACTGGCGGGACTGGAGCTATCGGGATATTATTGAAGTGAAAGATAAATACTCAGAAGAACAGAAAATCTACTTTGCAACTCCTCCAGCTGAGCGGTTAAAATTGCTGAAATTGCAAGAAGAATTGCAGAGAAATGTAGTACTCTAAGTAGCTATTTTCCCTGTGCAAAAGGATACAAAACACATTCTGTTGTGCCCGCTGCTGTAGGGACAGAATTGAGAGTTGAGTTGGTAAACCCAAGGTGGAAGGCAAGTGCACTTTGCATGGAGTAAGTGAACACAGAAGGACTTGCTTTCAAATAAACATAGAATTGTATTATGATATTAGTAATACTTAAAGCCTGTACATTCAGGCATAGAAATTTTATTTTATTAGTAATTGGGGAAGGGCGTTGGAATGATTCTTTGGTAGCAGGGGTAAAATCATAGCCTGTTTGTTGTATGCTTAGGAAAGACATATTTGTAGATTGCACTTTTTGCTATCCTGTGGGAGAAATTCTCCAGACAGCAAATGTTTTGAAGTGTACTGTCTAGTCTTTCACAGTATAAAGTTATTTCTGGTACGATATCATTTTAGTGATTCTCAGCACATACTCTGAAGCTTTGAAATCCTTTCATTTTGTTTGTTTGGTTGATTTCCTTCCTTTCTTCACTTCTAGTAAAGCATTTGGGGGGCTGTGTAACCCATGTGATGAAGGAAAATTAAACTGTTTTAAAGAAAGCACAATTAAAAGAAGCCAAATGATCTGACTCTTTGTATTCTATGGTAATTATGTGGTGATTGGGTAGCAATTACAGTTCAGTGAATAGCAGTTTAGATTCATTTTTTTTTTTATCAAAACAATCCTGCAAAATTATGCTGCTGAAAATGGATAATTTTGCTGCTAAATTTTGTGCTAGAGCCATGTGTTGCCTGCAGGGCACAGTTGTCCTCCCTTAACATAGGGTGTATATGGAAACAGGTGCATTCAGGCAGGAATTCTTACTACGTTATAAAAATGCTTCGTGACCACTAATGAAGACACTTCTGGTTGAAGAAGAGCCAAAGGACAATTGACTCTGCAAGTGTACAGAATGGGCCTTCCTGTCTCACCTCACTGATAGTGTTACTTTCCCCCCATAGTTTTAATGTGATTTTCAAACAGCTTCAACTTCTTTTGTTCCATCTCTCCCTAACCAAGGTTCTTTTGCTCTCTCATTTTCATTAAAAAAAGTTGTTTGCATAACTTTTGTAATAGTCTACTATATGACAAATCCTGTAGGTTTTGAATGTACATTTTCAGTCTTCTTATATGATTTGAAAATACAATGCAACCCTTAAAATAAATTAAGACAGTTAATACAGAAACATCTCCCACCTAAACCAGTAAAAAGGTGCCCTCAATGCTGTCACCACCTACACATGCAAAAGAGCCCTGTCCACTTTGTATTGTAGTCCCTCATTTGCAGTCTGCCTTCACCTAAAACAAATGTGTGGTTTCCGATAATCAAAAGATTGTCAACTGCCACTCTGTTAAAAGAAAGAAATACATTTTTTGTCCATACTGCATACATCAGGTGTGTAAGGAAAATGGAACAATATGGCATAAAGAAATTATTCATTAACATTCATCCCGGAGAAGCCACAATGACATCAAAATGATGGCATGTGTTTCATGATGCCATTGTGCAAAGGATGAGAATTATGGACTTGTGTTAGTTTGCAGTACATTGCATCATGACACAGTTATGTCATTGTGTCATTTGTACTATGATATGATGCGTGTGACATCACTTCCCTTCTCCCCCCCCCGCCAACACAGATGCAGATATCAGCTATTCTGTAAGTAGCATCTAGGTTAACCTAACATAATCTGGTTTGTTTAGCTTTGTCTTAGCTTTTGGAAAGCTGTGAAAATATGGCTTTTCTGACAGGACTTTTAGAAACTACGCTTTGCTTTCCCTCTGATCAGCAGTGTTTTTTTTTTTTTTAAATTGAGTTACATTTATTGTCTTTATTTGCATCATTTGATTTGTAAACTACGTAGAGATGGGTAATCATAGTGATGTGGAAATCCTGGAAATAAAATAAATATGTATCTGTAAGCTATATATATATTCTGAAAAGAGAATAAAGCTGTAAGATAGACAGAGTTTTATCAAGTAATGTGATTCTTACTTTTCTTACTCAAAAATGTGGCTGAAGCTCATTATAGTGAAATCTTCTGGGTGGTTTCTCCTTTTCCTGATGTCAGTGCCAGTGCTTGGGCATGGACAGGAAGAACCTTAAAATGTCAGAGATACAAATCCCAGCTGAATGAGCCAGAACACAGAGGAAAATATTGTGTCAGATATTTTAGGGGACTTGGCAGGCAAACTTGGAAATACAACTGTGAAAACTATGCTTAGAGAATTATACAGTTCAGACCAAAACATTCTACATTATGCTAGAATTTGGGAGAACAACGCAATTGTTTCAGTCTTCTATATGAAATCCTTCAAGGAGCTTATGTTGCAAAACTCCAGTTCCAGTTAAGGATGTATCTGTATATTGCTGTGACCTTCTTAAGGGAAGTGTGGAAGTTTTATGTATACAGCATGTCCCAGAATTTATTTGATGTTTGAGCAGCTGAGAATAGGTGAGGTCACTTTTACTCATCCTGGTGATGTCTAGATGGTCAGACTACAATTTCCAGGAATTACAGTCAGTGTGTTGTGATGTATTCCTCTAATTCTTTCACAGTTTTTCCAGGTTTATTGAGAAGGTCATCTCTGACTTATAACAGAGCAAGACTTGCTTAAACAAGTACAATTTTATGTGAAAATCTGGGATCCCCAAGGATGAAATTATACTCCATTGGTGAATTAGGAGTCAGACACATTTTCATTGTGTTTGAGACTATGGTTGGTTGGTTGGTTTTTTCCCTTGGCAGCTGTTTGGCTGCATGAGGCTGAAATCCATCTGTATTAAGCAGCAAATTGGGTGTTTAATCCTCACTTGCTGGCACCATAAGCAGCTAGGATTGGAAGGCCATCTCTGAAACAGTCATGTCTGTAATCTGCCAGAGGATAGCTAATTTCTAAAGCCTTCACAGCCTCCTTTCCACTGGTCTTCCCTTTGCAGTTTGCCAGCTGAGGGGCTGCTGCTGGAAATCTGAAGAGCATGGCCAAGTGCTAAGTTACCTTGGCATTTCTGCATGCACAGTTTGATGCCCGAGGAGTAATAGAGGCGTCCTCTGAAAAGCAAACCAACTATTGAGGACGCAGCTGCCATCCAGTTAGTCAGTGCTTTTATTTCAAAGGATTATGATTTTTAATGTCAAGTCCTTTTCTGGCTGCTGTTGTTTTTTACTTTCTGTAAGGAGGATATCCCATGGCTATGTACCACCAGGAACTGCTGCAATGTCCTGCCCGGCTGCCTTGAAATCACTTTTTGCCAGTTGATTCTACAATCTGATGGAGAAGAAATTAAAATGGCAGAAGAGCCAAAAGATTACGGAGGTACCTACAGTGTATTCTAATAACTGAGTCCAGCAAGAACTCCAAAGAAGCCAAACGTCTTTTCTGGGCTGGGAAGGGATTAAATTCAGCATAAATTCAACCAGCCAAATATCAGCTCAGCTAAGACTTTACATTTTGACTACTTAGGATTGTGTACGCAATTCTTATTATTTATAAGAGACAACAAAATTAGTCACAGAATATGCTTGGAATCAAAAGAATAAAATGGTAGTAGAAAGTTGCATTAAAATACCAAACAAATGTAATTAAGGAAACAATAATCATCAGCTGAATTGCATTACATTTTCTGTTCCAGAAATGGATTACAGAAATTCTTTTCTTTCCTACTTCTACAACAGCTGTGGGTTATCCAGTAAAAAAGTTGGAGAATTGCCAGTCAGACTACTTTGGAAATATTTCCTTAGAGGCAACAGCTGAGATTGAGAAAATGGACAATGTAGACAGAAATAAAATCATAAATCTGATTTCTTCTTAAATTTAAATCTTCCCCCACTGGTGCACCTATGACTATTTAGGATGGGGGGAAATTCAAAGAGGAATCTTTTCTTCTTATTTGTTTATTTATTTGATTGATTTATTAGCTACATATCTAAACATAGAAGTGTGTCAGCACCTATAGCCAATCAAACAGAACTAAATACTTGATGAAATAAATAGGTTTTAACAATTTTCTGAAATACAAGAAGAGAAGGTGCCATTTGGGCCTCCAGGGGAAGCATTTTCCATATGAAGTTAACTCTAGTCATCCAGACTGATCAACCTAAGATGGCTTATTGAGAGTTCTTCCCTCTGCGGTGTATGAGACTTGGACAATGTTAACTTTGGCAATGTGATACATGACCTATCCCTTTTGATGCAGGAGCAATAGCAACATAAAAAGAATTATATCTTTACTGTAACTTGCTCCATAATTATGTGAACTGTACACATGGTACAGTGGTACTAATTGGTATTAGTTATCCTGGTTGCTGCGGCCATCTCAAACCTGTACCCTTCAGATGAGTTTGTTTTTAGTACCCATAACTCCCAGTCAGGAGGGGACCAGGACACTTCTGTTTTTTTAGGGGTGATTATAGGATTTGAGGCCAAGGTTGAGGTTTCCTGATGAAAAATGTCTGGGTCAATTACAGCACTGACTACTTGTCACCATACTGAAATCTGGTACTACTCTGACTAGATGAAAAGAGAATATGAACCATCCTGAAGACTAATTTTAAATGTTCTGTTTATTCATAGTTGGTTTTGTTTTATCCAAGCTCTTTTCAAGTTGGTAAAAATTATCTCCAAGTTATTTTAGCATTTCTTATGAATAGAGTCAATATGAATGATTAGAGGGAACCATAATTTGTTAGGGCTTCTTTTTGCTGAACTTAGCACTGCTTTCAACCCAGGCCAGCTGGGCCAGGAACCTTCTTTCCTGGATTGGTGAGTCACATTCTGGATCTTAAACCCTCTTATTAGCATTTCTTCCTGAAGGATGGAAAGGACAGTAATTCCTTCTCCAAGGAACTCAGGCTTCTCTTGCAGCACCTTTCCATTTGTTAGCCCATAAAATAATTGTTGGCTTCCTGAGAAAGTGTATTTGTAACTGAAGGATAAAGTAATGTAAAGGATTACTTTTCTGTTACATTCCGTTAAATTTTACTTACCATGAGGGTACCAGGTTTGAAGGAAAGTATAGTCCAGTTCCTCTTAGCTCATTTATAAAATGAAGAAGTTCAGACAGTAGACTAAAAACTCAAACAGAAGCAGAAATCTGGAAGGCAATTGTCAGTCCATTTGGCCATAATTTGCCACCTTGTCAGTGAATACATACATAAAGGAATTGTGTTATAATAAATATTGTAAGATGGCATGTTATCTCAGTGAAAGTTCTTTTAATCCACCTGATCTCTAGCCAATTCTTCTAGAAAGATTTTGGTCAAATAGGTACCTTCCACATAATTAATGGGAATGTCATATTAGCCAGCTCTACTGGGATTTTGATTTCTTGACTTTTATCAAGAATTCAACCATTACAAATCTAGGCTGGATTCAAACACAATTACTGGTTACGTGCCTTGGGTAAGCTATAATCTGGTTTAGGCAGAGCATGATGTTGGATCCTAGCCATTGTGTTCTGTAAGTTATGGAATATGGCTTAACGTTAGATATCTCCAAGCCACTATGGATTGCTCCACAACCCATAATTAAAATAATTGATGGCTTAAGATAATGTGTGAACTTAGTCTGAAATAATGTGGACCTCAAAACTATTTCATATTATAACCTGTTTTTTTATTGAAATACCTCCTTAAGCAGATGTATACAACAACCATCAATTGTACAAGCATAAATATGAAGTAAGATATGGTGGTGATCAAGAAATACAAACTTTTTTAATTGTATTGATTTTAAGTATAAAGAATACATTGCATATGTATAAACTGAAGACTTATGTGGGATTTTAAAACAATGTTGATTTTGTATTCATATTTTTTCTTCTTTTTCTTTTTTTGCTTTGTATTTTGCCTTTCTGCTCAGAAGGCACTTTCCCATTTGGCTTTTAGTTTAGCAACTGCCTTTTGTTTTTGTTTTTTTTAAGTATAAACATCTACCACATGTTCTTCATCAGAAACTAATTAAAAAAGAAAACTGACTTAATTTCACATGTTGAATTGTGAGCTAATTAATACATTCTACCTATATACAGAACTGCTATTTAATCTTATACAATAGCATAATCTACTCTAATTAATTATGCTTTCCATTTTACTTAATACATATTGCTTAATATGCTGGGATTTTTGGTGATTTAAATAATTACTTAACTATGTTCGTTCATTTTTGTTTATTATTTAACTTATTTATATGTTAATTATAGTCTCAAATGTTTTGAACTAAATTTTTGCAAAGTCCATGTTTGTTAGATGCTTTAGATGTGGAGGTTTCAGAACTGTAGCTCATTTTAATTATCAACATGTAATCTATTTTATAAATATACTAGTTTTATGGAACAAGAAAACAGCTGTCTATCCCTGTACTCTTTTATCCAAGAATATTTTAATCATCCATACTTTTAATAGACATATCAGGAAATCTCCAATCAAACCGTGGTATTCATTCACTGCTTCAGAGTTGAACCAAATAGCTTGATTCACATTCCACCCAACATTTATAATAATATTAATTGATAATCATTCCTTCTTGCCCTCTACTCTTCCTCTGTCAAATAAGATAAAGACTGAAGATCTTCTACTTACAAACCCATTCCTTAGGGTTGGCCTGAAGAGTTGGGGTTTCCAAACCCTTTTTTAACAACTTATTTTTAAGGATGTGAAGCCAGAGTTTAGGCAGGAAAAAATGAGTAAGGATAATTTCAGAGTGCATAGGGAAAGAGATGAAAGTTGCCTTGGGTAGTTTATTTGGGACATCATAACAGAACAGTTGTTACTTATTTAATATTTAATTGTAATTCTTGCTGATAAGAAGCAGCTCTTGTGGGATTGTCTATCTCAAATATCAAATTAAATTAACCAAATGTTACAATTCTGGGATGGAGGGTGTGGTTTTTTTACTTTATATATTTTCTTTTTAAGTGTTCCCTCTAAGAGAAAGTTATGATAGGCTGCCACCAATCAGACTGAACATATTAACAACATCTAGTCCCCAATCTGGTTCTTTCCAGATGTGCTGTGACTTGGCTGAAAAATTCTGGGACTTGTAGTCCCCATGCATCTGGAAAGTATTCACGTGAGTAAGATTGCTTTAATGTGTCCAGATGAAGAGTTACGTTCCTTTTTTCAAGAACCCTTTCATCACTCAGAATTCCAAAGAAAGTCAGTCTAATT